CCAGCATAGACACATTCCGCCCCCCTCCCCCCCAATGTCCTTTCAGAAATACCTGAAAGATGTATTTAAAATAGTATGAATGCCAGTATGTTCAGCTGCTGCTGGTCTTTCATTACCATCGTGGAGTGAGACAGATTTATCTAGCAAAAGCAAAAAATGGCAGAAGGAGAGGAGCCCATCTGAATGGCTAGAAGTGGTATTAGCAGGAGAGCTGGGTCTTTTGTTGGAATGAACACATGCCTCTCTCCCCTCAGCAATGCCTGCCATCCCCTGGGAGATACTGCTTTCTTGCCTGCCAGTAGGCCTGTCCCCGGTGCCTCCTTCCTTTGAGCCTTTGACAGGAAGCATGAGCTATTGCTGTCAGCCCATAGCGAGAACCTGCTCTGTCCCATGAGCTAATTGTGGCTCTGCCCTTGACACTCCTTGGGGCGCAAGGCGAGTCCGTCTGTGAATATCATTTTTCCCCCACACCCAGCTTTAAAATGGGGAGGAGGTGCCTTTCTCCGCTTCCCCCACAGGAGTTCATGAGACCTGCTCCCTGCAGGCTCCTGCTTGTCCTACGCACACAGAGCCCGTTGGGCATCTGACCATCTGCCTGAGCAAATGACAGGTTTGTTTGCTCCCTGCTAGCCGCCGGGGCAGGGCTGTGCCTGGGTGTGCCGCCTGCTGAAAAGCTAGCCCTGATTGCATGTTTGCACAAAGCTCTGAACAGATGCAACGGGCTCTGCTTTGACAAGGGTATTTTTAAATCCGCTCCAAACCCTTGTCAAGCCAGCTGTTCTACAAGTGAACTGAAGGGCATTGCCAAAGCCATGCGTCAGTAGAGGTAACGTACCCAGCAATTTGGAAATAAAGGGCCTCTATTCATAAGAGTTGAGCAAGGCACTTTCATGGGCCCAAAGACATGTTCTTGTCTTCTCTGTACCCTCAGAAGAAATAAGTCCATTTATTACCAGGCTGGTAGCTCTCCCCAGGAGAGCTGCATTGGGGAGTTGGGCGTTTTTTTGTTTCTTTAACTACGAGGAGCTGGGCTATGGTGCCGTGGCTGGGCTGGTGCCTGTCATGCAGCCAAAGGACTTTTTGTTTGTGCCTGTCACCTTGGTGGTCAGGTGCTTGTTGCCCAACTACTTGTAAAACCTCAACATGCTGGAGGTGCCTGCTGGCACGGCGTGGCAGTTAAAAGAAGTAGGTTACACATTTGGCCATGGGACAATGGGGCTTCATTCCCAAATCTGCACATGGGGGAGAGGCTCACAGCCCCTACAAGCAGCACTAGCAAGAAGCAAAACAGGCACATGAAGGGAGGGAGGAGGTTGAGGTGGCATGGGACACATACCTGAGCCATACCTCACGTGCTGCACTGCAGCGGGTATCCAAAGTCTCACAGATGGCCAGGGCAGTGCCATGCTTTCCTGGGGCTAAGGCTCAGTAGCAAAGCCCTCCCAGTTGTTGCCAGTGCCATTCGGTGATGAAGAACAGCCATGGGGCTCTTGTAGCAATGGTGAATTACAGTGTTCAGCTGCATGATGCAAGGCGGAATGCTGCCTCACAGCATGTGCTGGGACACTCCCTGTCCCCGTCCCCAGTACCCCAGTAAATACTAAGCCAGACAGGTGTGGGTGTTGTGGGGGGAGCCCCCTCCCTGCTGCGGCACAGCTGGGCATGACCATGGCTTGGCCAGAGCCGAGCTGGCGCTGCACCCTGGGCACAGGCTTTTCCCATGCTCCTGCCACTCATGCTGTGACACAGCCTGAAGTGGAAAAGGTTGTTTTTACTGTGGTTTTTGCAAAGCCACTCACAACCGATGCCATAGGAAAGGGGTTGCTTGTTTGATTGTTTTTCCTCCTTTCACATTCCTGGAAAGAGGGGCCAGCACGAGGCAGGCACTGTGGTGCAGGACCATGAGTCAGGAGGGCTGGGCTCACCGCCTGCCTCTCCCTGGGGCTCTCGGGGTAGCCGGGCCAAGTCACAGCCCTGTGAGATGCTTGGCTTACAGCTGAACCACACGGCCAAAACTGCCAACCTTGTCCTGGGTTTTCCCTTAGCCTTGTCCCGCGTTGCCTGCCCAGCACCAACCGTGCTCAGAGCTGGCTTGGATTGCTGCTGCCTTGTGGCCTCATGCACCACAGGCTGAGGGATTCCAGCCTTTGCTAGAGGCAAGGCTCCCCTTCAGCATGGGCTGGGGTGGCAGGGACTTTAGCTCCTTCTCTTCCCCAGGCCACAGCAGCTCTCACCAGCGGGATTGCCTCTCTCGCTATGGGGTTGGGCCTCCCACCAGAGGCTCTGGGACACGTCATGCCCAGTATTAACAGCTTGTGCTGCTCCACTTGGTGCGTGTGTATGGAATACACGTGCAGTGGGCCTGAGTGAGTAACTCCGTAGCTCACTGGGCTTGTCGTTCACTGGGAGAGGAGCCCTGGATTTGCTCTGAACAGGTAGAAAGACTGACTGAGCTCTCTGTTAAGGTGCTGGCTGGAAAGGGGAACGTGTCAGTTCCTGAGACTGGGCCTGCATTTGCGCCAAAAACTGATATAAACCAGCAGCTCCAGGACTTAGGCTCCAGCAGTGAAGGCCCTTAGGAGCCTGCATTCGTCACTAGGCATCAGTGAGTGCTGGGTGTCTCCTGCTCAGACCCCAGGAGTGCTGCAGATCAGCAGAATTTCTGCCAGCTATCTGCTCTGACAGGAAAGCAACTGGCCACTTTACGTTCATCAGCGTAACAGCTATGAAACGGGCTTTCAGATCACTGCTTGGCAGTAAATGCAGCGAATCCTTATGGTCTATATAGTCCTCAGCTGCTTGATGCTGTTCAGCTGCAGGCAGTGCGTACAAGTCCAGTGAGTGGTGCTCAAGGCAAACACAGCGTTGAGCTCCACACAAGGAAAGTGGCAGGTGCCAAAAAGCAAGACCAAAACTGGTGGAAGGCCATGCAAATCTATATTTTTATGCCAGAGTGCTTAGTCAAGAAGGGGGAGAGCTAGGTACAATTCCCTTTCACGTCACAGAGACCAAAACCCATATCCTCTCTGCCTCCTAATGGCCTTCACCGCCAGGCGTAAGATGTTCCACAGGAAGGTGCTTCCAGCCCAAATGTTGAAGTGCTTCTACTTCAGACAGAAAAATGAAGCATTTGTTGGCCCCAAGAAAAAGCCTCTCTACTGACCAAACATCGCTGCACCCTTTGGAAAGAGGACTGGGTTCTCTTAGCCCTGCTCCAATTTCATAGACAAGAGCAAAGCACACACTAGAGAACAAATGGGATCCAGATCTCCGCTCCCTGATGCGAGTGCTTTTATCATTAGATTATAAGGTCCAAGTCATTCTTTCCTCCCCATCTGATCTTGTCCCCGGAGCATGCAGATTAAAAGGCTCAAGCGGTCTTAACGCCCATGTTTCTTGAAGGCCAGTGTCCTGCATCCTCTCCCCAGGTTCACACCTGCTGGCGTACTTGCCATTACAGACAGGGGAGGCTGTTGCTGCTTCTAATCAGATTTCTCTTAGTAGCACAAGCTGCCCAAATCCCAGGACAGAAGCTTACGGTTCAGATTCCTGGCACTCTGCTGCATCAAATGAGGTTTTATGTGCAGGATCATACGTCGCACCTTGGCAGAGATTCATTCGTACGATCCAAACCTCCCAAATGCTGGGTGGGGATTGGAATGGAGGGGCTGCTGCCCAAGCGTCCTCCGATTTCTTTCTCTTTCCAGACTAGAATCTTCTTCCCTGTCCTCACTCTGATGAACTGTGTCCTGCAATCACACAGCTCCCCCAGATACTATTTTCTGAGAAATTGTGAGTTCCTGGTGGGAGCAGTCGCTTAGGCAGAAGAACCACCTTGACTGAATGCACCAAAGGCAATTGGAAGTTCTATCATTATTTCAAAGTCGCACTAGAAAAGACCTAATTTTCATTTAATTAGGGACATGTCCCCACCTGCTGTGAAATATTATTATGGTGCTTATTTTCATCTTCACCATTTCTTTTGCTTTTTCTTCTTTCGAAGAGCTAAGCAAGTTGAGCTTTGGGAAGACTCAATTACTTTGAGGTGTGTTGGCAATATTTACTTCAGGATCAGCTTCTTGTATGATAAGCTGCAAGGGGCCTGGCACGTGTCATTTTACTGTAAGACCGCTCTTGCAGACACACATGCACGCACTCCCCTTTTTCACAAGCCCTCCTCACCACTTTTACCCCTGTGGCCTGCTGGCTGCTCGCACTGGAAAAGGCTGCCTTTGCAGGGATGGGGCCCACGGCTCTGTTCCTTGTTGGCCTGCCACATTTCTGCCTATGCAAACACCGGGGTGTGGGTGTGACCTCACTCCTCGTATTACAGCCAGGTTTGGATGTCTTCAGCTGCTCTTCTGCGTCCAGACTGTGCAGACAAAAGCAGCTCACGGCGCTGACCACCCTCTTTATTTCCACAGATGCGCAGGGCACATGCATGGGTTACACTCACGTTGTCAAGGGCAGGCATTCCCCAGCGATACACCATTAGACACTTTTTCCACACGCGGGCTGGAAGCCCAGTGTTCTCATGTGACTCCAGAAGCTGAGGCAACGGACACGTGTCTCTGTGTTAACCCAGCCCTGGAGACAGCCCCACCCCAGGAGCTCAGAGCACAGCCAAGCACCCTTTGGTTTCAGGCTCCAAATCTCAGAGGATCAGACTTAAATGATTAGCTCTGAGGACTGCGATTCTGGAGACGGTCCTTTATCGACCCACACGCTACCACTGACAGTGAGCACTGCCCACGGGGCTGGGGGTGAAGATTGCAGTCAGGCTAAGCTGGACTGCAGCCTGGGTTGCCAGGCCCCCTGCCAGCCAGGGCTGCAGATGTGATGCTTGCAGAGTGCATTAGCTCTGAAGAAAGTGCTCATCCCTCTCTCTCTCTCCATCTGCTGAAACTGGTTGGCAAAGGAGAGAAAGAATTTAGCACTGCGCGGAGCTTGGTTATCCAGAAAGGCAAGAGGAAAAAAACAGAGATAGAAATAAAGGGTGATCAGTAATCATGCCTTTAATAGCTTGTAAATATTTTTTTAAATTCCAGGCAACTAAGATGTACATTTGTTGTGTATATCTGACATCTGAAAAAAATGAGTCCGCAATCTGTTCCGTTTCATCCCTTTTCTAAAGCACATAAATTAAAGTATCAGTCACCCCAATATACAACAGTTTTATGAAGAAAAAAGTCTTGTTCTGTTTTTACAATTCAGTGTCACCTTTTTATCTGAAGCATTAGCTAGAGTTTTAGCTAGATAACTGTCTTACAACAAATAGGAAAACTCAGAACTTAGGCTGTCCAGAAAAAGTCAAGAAATTTCCACTCCCTGCTCTCAAACTCCACTTCCTAATAAAGCATCAGAGTAACATTTTCATTTCCCACTAGAAAACGAAAGACCCCAAAAACTCTTCAAACACACCTGGGAAACACTGTTTGGACCACAGAGCTTATTAAACTTAAAAAATTAACAGTGCAACAATTTCCCCTTCTACAACTTCAACACAGAACCTGAATTCACATCGGTATGAACAAGGATAGACAACGCCAGACTGCAAGTAGCCGCTGGTGCCTGGAGCTGCTAAACAGCCTCCCACACTTGATTTCGGTATCCAGTAAATGCTCTCAGCTTTGAGAGCACCTGCAGGCTCGGGGACCCCAGGCCACTCAGCGGTTCAGGCTGAGGCCATTTCAGCATCCCCTTGCTGAACTCGGCTCAACCCTGCCTCACACAACCGGGATTTGAATCCGGATGGGAAGACGCTGAGCACCCTCCTCTCGCACTGGTGCTGGGGCTCAGCGCTTGGCACGATTCAGCCACATAGCTCTGGCCACCACCCAGTATTATTCCCACTGAAACTGGGGACAGGCTTCTTGCTGATTTTTGTAGCTGCAGGATCACTGTATTAGCAATACCGCATGGGCCTTGACGGAGGGGGTTGCTCTTGCCTTCTTCCCATTGGGGGGTCCATGGGTGCCGTGTACCTGGGGCTGCTCCTCATCAGCCTGCTTGGGAGCTCGTGGGAATAGCCTGTGCTCTAGCATAAGGTAGACCACGTACAGGAAAATGGGAGGCAGGCAGAAACAGCTCATCTGGCTGATGTCTTCATCCATTCCCTAGCACTGAATAGAAAACCTCTGATCTAGGGGAAAAGAAAACTTAAAGATGAAAGAACACAAAAATAGAGCAAAAACGTGACCTTTACTGCTTTTTCATCTCCTGCTGTTTTGACTAAAGAACCTGATCTGTAAGTGCAGCTAACTCCAGAGACGAACGTACTCTTTCACAGTCTTGTGTGTGTGCAGCACTAGAACAAAGTCACAATTACAGGTGCAAAGGAACAACGTTACAGTCCTCAGAAGACCTACTCTGTGCACTCACCAACAGCTTGAGTTTGCTGATAAAGTTAAGCAAAGAGGTTCATTCTTCTTGAGCACAAATGAAAATCCATCAAAGCAGCTTCTATTACAGAGAGATTCTAAACTGACATAAATAATTATAGTCTTGATTAAAAATAATATATTATTCTAGATTTTTGTTTTTTTAGTTTTCATGTAAAACCCCTATACTCTTGACATCTAGGAACAAAGACAAAATAAAAACCAGGCACTTGCTGTGCCTTCTCAAGCACTATTGTGGTGTTTAAGGGACACAGAGGAACTTAACAAATGAGATTAATGCCTACAGTGGAAAACGAGAGGAGTTCTTCATGCCGTTGGCTTTTTCAAGTCTCGGATTTGCTTAATTAGGTAGTTCTTCTCATCAGTGAATTGTTCATCATCCGTCCTCTCCTTCTGGAAATTGCTCAGAAACTCAATTAGCTTAGGTTGGTTTTTCAACAGGATCTCCACAATAGGCTGTGTTTTGTTTGGACTGGCCACAAAAACCTAACATGCAAACAAAACCAGGCACAGGGAGACAGAGAGAGAGAGAGAGAGAGAGAGAGAGAGAGAGAGAGAGAGAGAGAGAGAGAGAGAGAGAGAGAGAGAGAGAGAGAGAGAGAGAGAGAGAGAGAGAGAGAGAGAGAGAGAGAGAGAGAGAGAGAGAGAGAGAGAGAGAGAGAGAGAGAGAGAGAGAGAGAGAGAGAGAGAGAGAGAGAGAGAGAGAGAGAGAGAGAGAGAGAGAGAGAGAGAGAGAGAGAGAGAGAGAGAGAGAGAGAGAGAGAGAGAGAGAGAGAGAGAGAGAGAGAGAGAGAGAGAGAGAGAGAGAGAGAGAGAGAGAAGGAGGGGGGGAGAGGGAGAGGAACATCAGTCACAACATCCCCGTAAGTTATTTTCTAACAAGTCACCTGAAGGCTGGCAGGCAGATACTCTGCTGCTACACACCTTGTCCCAAGGCAGAGAGAGAGGAGTTACAAACATGTTGGTTCAACAGCAAACTGAAGTAAAGCTATAACTGTGTGTGATATCGCTTCCCTTTAATTTTGCTCTTTGTTGATAAAAGCATTTGACTGTAAACGCAGCTGTTGAGAGCGAGCTATCAATTCTCAGCCTCTTCCACATGCAAGACTTAAATACACAGAAATTAATTATCAGGAGAATGGAAAAGCTTTGTGTCAGTATTGATATCATTTCCATACTAAACCAGGTCTAAACTTAGACTTGCCAACTTTGTTTTGGTTTGGAAAAATAAGTCAGAGGCTCCACTTCCCTCTGCCTAATCCATTCATGGGAGCATGGAAATTTCCAGCAGCAGGAGCAGGAGCAGGAGCGCCATGGTGCGCCTGGTGCCTTTGCTGCCCTCGCCGAGCAGAGGAGGGTGGCAATGCAGGGAGGTGATGTGAGACACAGATACGCACCTGGCACAGCCAGCCCAGCGCTGTGGGCTTACTGGTCTTCTCAGATAGCAGTTTTTAAGGATAAACCTAGCCGTGCTGTGATTTTTCCTCCTGTAATGCCTAAAGCCGCAGAGTTTTCCAGCTCTGAACACAACCCCCTATGCTGTGACACTGTTTCTTTAACATTTTCTCTGCCTTATACGTGGGCTGACGACAGGAAACTTAAGGCTGGTTGTAAAGGCCAGCGGTGACAAGCTCTTCCCAGGGACCTCAAGATGCCACGGAGATGGGGGCTCTGCGGACATCGGTCAGGAGGGGCAGACGGGGCAGGGGGCCGGTGGTGCGAACACACGCACAGCACACCCTTGGCCACCCCGAGAGGAGCTCTCACATCTGGCTCACACTGAGGTTACCATGGCTGGTCAACAAAACACCGCCCGAGCGCTTGTGCAACGACATAAATAACTCGAGTTATTCTCTACCCGACGAGAAGAAATTAAGGATGGACAGGACTGGAAAATGTCCAGTTTCCCTCCAAGCCTGTTCAAACCCGAATGAAAACAAACATCTGCTGACAGTACAGAATGGCATGTTGTCCGGCTGAGCGCAGGCGGCACCACCACTTGACCGGCCCTGGGGCCGCTGGCTCCAGACCTGGGCCTCTTCTGCAGGTTCATTTATCTCCGCTGAGATTGTGCCCACATGAAAACCTGGGCCACGTGCAGCTGCGCAGGGAGCTGCCGCGTTACGTGATGAGGAACACGCACACACCGTCCTAGGGGGCTGCGTTACACGTTACGTGATGAGGAACACGCACACACCATCCTAGGGGGCTGCGTTACAGCCCCTTGCCCCCAGAAACAATGCCTGGTAAAGCCTGGGACAGGATTCAGACCGGACACATCGTTCGGCTTCATACATCCCAATTAGGGGATGTTATACGAGTGGTGTGGAAAATGCCACACGTGGGGAATGTGGGGAAGGAATGGGGCTTGGCACACATCAACAGTACCACACTAAGTACTTCTGCCCAGACAGGGAGGTAAGACTATTTTTTTAATTCCATAAAGGTGAGGCAAAGCATCTACTCTTAAACCCTGGCATCCTGATGCCATAAGAGCCCTAATCCCTGCCTATGCTTTTGTCTCCTCTGGATCCCTCCTCCTCAGGTCGCTCCTAAGAGTCCCTGCTTCAAGGTACTTTTCCCTCTGCTCTGGGGAAAGAGCTGCAACCTCTGCCATGCTGGGTGAACGCTCCCAGGCCCCAAGTCTTTTACAAAGGTTTCCTTGATCTAGTGGCCAGGCTGCGGTCCCTGTGACAGTATAGTACCTACAGTTATTCACACCATCTTTGCACAGGCCTCCACATTGCCTTTCTCTGATTTCCCTGAGCTACAATCTCAAATAATTTCTTTTTATGCCTACTTGCCATCTAAAACTTATTAACAGTAGCACCAACAGCCCCAACTCCCAAGGATCCCTTCAGAGATCTCTAAAATAGAGCTTTAATAGATACTCTAAAATAACAGCTTTCCCACGAGATGCTCCAAGCACTCCAAGTGCAACATCGTCAATCGTATCCTGGGCTGCATCCAGAGAAGCGTGGCCAGTAGGTCGAGGGAGGTGATTCTGCCCCTCTACTCTGCTCTGGTGAGACCCCACCTGGAGTACTGTGTCCAGCTCTGGAGCCCTCAGCATAAGAAAGACATGGACCTGTTGGAGCAGGTCCAGAAGAGGGCCACGAAAATGATCAGGGGGATGGAACACCTCCCCTATAAGGAAAGGCTGAGAGAGTTGGGGTTGTTCAGCCTGGATTTGTTCCAGGTTGTTCTTGGGGTTGTTCTTGGGGTTGTTCTCAGGGTTGTTCTTGGGGTTGTTCTCCCTGGCTTTGGGGAGACCTTATTGCAGCCTATCAGTACTTAAAGGGGGCTTATAAAAAAGATGGTGGCAAACTTTTTAGCAGGGCCTGTTGCGACAGGACAAGGGGGAATGGCTTTAAACTAAAGGGGGGTAGATATAGACTAGATATAAGGAAGACATTTTTTATGCTGAGGGTGGTGAAACACTGGCATAGGTTGCCCAGAGAGGTGGTGGATGCCCCATCCCTGGAAACCTTCAAGGTCAGGTTGGACGGGGCTCTGAGCAACCTGACCTAGTTGAAGATGTCCCTGCCCACGGCAGGGGGGTTGGACTAGATGACCTTTAGAGATCCCTTCCAACCCAAACTGTTCTATGATTCTATGATTCTGTGATCTTACCAGGGACACATCTATCAGTGGGTCGGACAGCCAGTTCACAGCTCTCACTACACTTGATGGACTGTTGATAGCTGACTGTTCTGTCACTGCCTGCAGCATCTGAAAGCAATATCCCTTCCCTTGCAAATAACTTTGGTATGCTGCTATTGATGCATTGGTTCCCCATATGAGAAATAAAGGGTTTGGGGGTGTAAATCACTACTGAATGTACTTTACAGCTTCCAGTCTGTGCCTTATCTAAGGAATATGAATCTTGAAATCTCGTGGGTATGAATGTTTGGCTCTGGCTGAGACTGCGGCAGTTCATGCTCTCAGCTCGAGCAGCCCCACGATGCAGCTCCCCACGCGCTGACCTACAGCAGGTCACCATGCTGATGGAGGCTGGATACTTCCAGGATTTGGACCGTGATTAAGCCCTAAATCGTCTGGACAAGCTTCCTTTGAGAAAAGCAGTACGTAAGCCTACGGCCAGGGGTGAGGAAGGTAACCGTTACAGATCTTCATTAAAAGTTTTTCATTTTGGAGTTCAGTTCTCTCTTTGTGACCAGGAGAAGAAAATGATCAAGTAAACTGACAGGACCCATATTTTCAGAAATAATCTGATTACGGCCTGACCTTGAAGTGCTGAACATCTTCCTTCAATGAATATTAGGCCTCCTTATAAAGATAACTGAAGGCTGACTCTCAAAATGAAGAAATCTAAATCATTCTTCTTGTAAAAGCTATCTGGTCTGAAAACAGAACTGCAAGGCTGTAGTAAATACCAGTGTTTCATATTGGTCCTACAGCTGGTATTACCAGAGCAAATAATTAAAGAACTTAGTTTAATAGAAGACATCACATCCTGTTTATCTTCCTGCTCGATTAGTTATAGATTATAATCTTCCCCTTGCAAAACTGTCAAACTGAACATTCAAACACAGATCATCTTGACTGCCAGTCTTGCTCAGTGTCAACAGGGACTCGTAAAGAGAGAATGTTAAAGGACCAGAAAATTCCTGAAATGCTATTCAATACTTCGGCTAAGCAAACAGAATCAATTCTGCCAGTATCAACTAATCAGCTTCACAAAGCCCAGCATTAGGACCACCACAAGGCTTTACTTTTAAAAAAGCCCCCCACATTCAGAACTCTGTATTGTCACAGAGGAGGAGATAAATCCCTGAAAACAGAAATCATTTTTAATGCTATCTGGAACATTTCTACTAAAATGAAGTATTAACTGAAGCTAAAACACTTCACAGAGAACTTTGTTTAACCTATGGTTTTATTATGAAGGGTTGCGTGTTCTAGAGCACTTAGTTCAGATATATGAGAGAGACAGAGACCAAAATAAAGAGAGTACTCATATTAAAATTCCAACTCTAAACATAGCTGTTTCGGCACAGTTCCATTGTGTGAATATTTGCAAAAGGCCTGGAATGAAAATCAACTCTGAAGCTTCAAAAGTTGTCCAAAGTGGAACTGTTGCTGTCTTCTCCGTTAAAAGTCATACACTGGATTTCTTCAAATACCAGAATCACTTGATTAGAGAACCTGACCTTGTTTCCTTACAATTAATAACCAGGCATCACCACCCGCTGGGACTACAGCAGAGCAAAAGCGATTACAGACGTTGGATACCCTGGATTAGGTATTTTAAGACTTACTCTGGGGTCATGCACAATCTTACTGTGTCAGGAAACTGCACACAAAAGTGCCTTATGGTTCATGTTGCTTATAGTGTAATGCTTCGCATAACACTTCTTGCCCTATAAACTCTCCAGCTAAGAAACAGAGAGGACACATCCCCACAGACGTGGTTTCAGCTTCGTACCAAGTGGAAACTGTCGGTACAGTCAAATTATGTGAGACCATTTGCAGAGCAAGCTGCAGGAGGTAGCTCTGTAATGTGCACGAAAGAGAACGGAAAAATGAAACTAAGGTCACAAAACACAGTGTACCCATTCTATTTTTAGATTTAAACAGTAAAATATATCTTGCTAAATGTCTGCTTAAGAACAAGAAAGTTGCATAATCCCAATTTACCGCTACAGGGTGTTTTCCTCAAAATAATCTAATTGTTTATGTGAAAGCCAAGAGAGCTTGTTATTAGCCTTTATTTGTAAATGCGTAAGGTCAAAGAGATACCCGCACCACGTTCACATATGTCTGAAAGATTTGGTCTCCCCTACAGGCAAACTCAAAGCAGGCTCCACTAATAAAGAGTCACAAATCCATCACAGGAGCTGAAGAGCCCTTCCCAATATTTGGTCCTCAAAGGGTGCATGCTCAAGACGGAGACCTCTCCACTGAAATCAGTGCAGAGAAGAACCGGTGACTCTCAAAGCCTACAACTCTAGGTAACCCCATTGGGTTATTTACGGAGGAGGAGGAAAGGGGTGAGGTGTGTTAGCTTTTCTTGATGATTAAATACTGGCTAATCCTCATGCATACATTGTCTGGGACACCCAGCTTTACAAAGCAGCCGCAGGCCTTTAGGATGGTGCCACAAGGCAGAAGCTCCATTTTGCTCAGGCAAAAGGAAGAGAAGGAGCTGGAGCTAGGAGGAAGATCAAGCATTCAATGGAGAATGGAAGGAGGCACTGCAAGTGGGCGCTCTGTTTGTCTTCAATTTCCCATCCTGGATGAGTGAAATGTTCTCAGAGCTTGAAGGGGTACTGGCATTTTCAGCCACGAAATGTTCCTGCAAAATATTTTTGCACTAGAGGTGCTCATCATTTTCATCTCTATCTTACAGTTTTGAATCTTCAATAATTAGAAATTGCAAGGAGGTAAGAGTCATACGCCTTTTTTGGGGTCAGCTGGGGCCTGGGAGTGTTGGAATCTGGATGCTTACAAAACAAGCACTTTTTCATTTCAACTGTGTCTAACTGGTGAAACATCTAAATCAGGTAATTTAAACCCAGATCTTTTGGCAGCTCAGACAGAGCAGCAAGTGTCCACTTCTCAGCAGACCTTTGATTTCAGATCACTGTGGTTAGCCTACTGTAATTTCAACCAGGACTGCACAGGTGTTTTGCCAGCACAATTTAAAAATGCAGGCACAGTTTAAAATTTATGAGATTAAAAGCTGAGCACAAGATTCCTCTCTGAGTTACATTAACATGGAATCATTAGAGCTGACGAGAACCGGGCTGAGGGACACTAACCCAGAAACAGGAGGCAGGGACACTGCAGAACAGGGCACAACCAGCCAGTAGTGTTTTCCCCCATTCTCTTAAATATTTAAGGATTTCCTTTAGTAGTTCTCAAGAAGTTAGAATTCAATTTAAGAAGTGAAATAAGAGGAAAACGCTCTTCTCTGACCCTCTCTACAAAGCTAATTCACAATGCAATTTTCTGTAACATACCCTATAACTACCCTGCCCACCAGGGAGAAGCTGAGTGCTTCTACAAGCAGCTAGCCCAGATCCTCAGTGAGGACCTCAAAGGGGAGCTCTGCTGCACCTCTAGAGTTACTCCAGTGCACTGCTGGTAGTTATAAACAGTTTCCAGCTGATCAGGTTCTGCTCTGAGTCTGCAATTTCCCCACAATGAGCACTGTGCATGTGAGATAGCGTGAGGCACACCATGGCACCGCTTAAATGCTGCTGATGGGTACCGCTGGAAAAAAACAACAGCATCCCATGGAGGTTACTATCTGGACAGAGTTTGGCCCTTTGAACTGAAGAGACAGAACATTAACACCACGCGCTGTTTGTTTTGCTGGGCACCCGAAGGCCTCAGCGTTATGTCCACATGGTAGCAGTCGCAAGCGGTCAAGCAAGGCTGAGCCTACAGTATCTCCACTCTAACTGGAAACGGGACGCAACACACTGGAAAAGGAAAGGAAGGGAGGAATGGGAGAAACAGCAATGCATGACATGGTTGCACACTGGAATCCTTTCAAGTTATTCCAAATCCTTTCAAATGCCTCTTAAAATAAGCAAAATCAGCTGTTCCCAAGGCCTGGGTCATGCCTATCATTAATTCAGGAACAGCAACTCATGTGTTTCATACATAAAAATCTGGCATTTATTCACAGAGTGGCTAAGAGACTCCAATCCTCTGATTCCTTCCCTCCACAGGCACCTCAAAGGCTGCAAGTGTTTGGAGCCTGACTGCTCTCTTATCTTGGAGCCACATACCTCCTGATAAGGAGGAGGAGTAGAAGTTACTCACAGTGGTTCAGCTGACTGTGGAGGAAGTCAGCAAGGGAACAGCTTACCAAGCTGCTTATTTCAGGGAGGGATTTTTTTTTTTTTTAATCCTCCTTGAAGCTTTTTTTTTTTTTGGAATCGAAAAGGTTTTTGGAGAAGCCACACATCCTCTAAGCCTCCACACTGAAAATCTGAAAGCTTTTTTCCAAATCAGAAATGGCAGAAGTACAAAACTCAACAAGTCACCCTGAATTTGTGGAGGATGATGTAACCTTTTCACAATAGCATGCCTTTTGGCATGATCTGGTATCTTTCTTAACCATCTTGGGGAAGAATATCCTTACAGGCTCAATATTCCTCTTCTGAAAATCATTAACAACTCTATTTACATAGCTTGAAATTAATGTGTTCATTCCAAATTAAAGGTAGTTTTGCATAATAACAATCCAACTCACCCTCGGTCCCAGAGGAGAGAATTTTTTTGATAGGAAAACAGTAAACTTTTCACTTATTAACATTAATCATCATGAAAAAAGGGACACTGGTTGGGTCTGGTAATTGTTTAAGATGGCATTAATGATCACTGCAAAAGGACGGAAGGATTAAACTCATTTCAAGCTCAGATTTACCAAATCTGTTTAATACCTTTAAAAGCAAATTGTTTTCATACTGATGCACAGCGCTAGCACCATCTACTTTTGGTCTTAATGTAGAGTTTTAGGACTTTTTTTTTTAATCTTTACCCAGAATCACATGGTAAAATGACCTAAGAGTTGGGGGAAGGTACCTTGGATACGACCTAGAAGCTGTGTATTTTGTTACCCGTAGCATCTACCTCATCGCTACTTGAGTGACTACCCTCAGCCCAAACCAAAATGATGCTGCTTTAGATCTCACCTGAAGGAAAGCAAACAGAAATCAGAGGCTGAGTGATAGAAAGGTTTTCAATTAAGGCGTTCTCAAATACTGGAAGTGACTGTAAACCCCAACCTTTGCCTTAATTTTCTGGGCTTCCTCTTGCCCATCCTGAAAGACACTTTTATGTGGCAAAGAGGAAGTCTGCCACCTCTACAGCTCATACTAGCTCACCTTGAACACATGGAATGCTTCAAACTGAATGTTGGGGCTTTTATCTCGCAGCAAGTTCATCATCAGCTTCAGATTTTCTGGTTTGCTGATGTATTTTGTCATGATGGCAAAGTTGTGTCGGTCCAGAATCAATTCACCCAGCAGCTATAGAGACAATTAAAAAAACCCTCAGGTTTCTCAGTGCACCACATTATTTTTGAATGTAAAGAAAGCAGCAACATGTTTTAATGCTTGCCTAAGAGGTTTCAATGTCACTACCTTTTAAAAAAAAGTAACTACATTTGTTATCATGCAGTGAGTTACTTAATGCCCAGTAATGCTCATCTTCTAAATACTACAGAGAGGGATCCCACATACGGCTGGGTGTAAGAGGAGCTGGTGTGAGTCAGCTAGGACAGAAGCAAGTGTAGTGCAGCTGTCCCACAAAGACACCTTCATTTCATTCGGATGTTACATTAACACGCTTATCTGCTCCCATCTGCAGGTCATGTCAGACTTGGTGCTGTAGCAGCAAGCAGCACCAGACAAACAGAGACTATCACATTACTCGCAAGTTCATTTTAACCTACGTTCTGAACCAAAGTACAGATTTGAGGTCAGAGGAAAAATGATAGTGCTTGTTCCATAGAAACGGCCCAAATGCTTCGCCAGAGATCCAGGAAATAAAAGTCACAGCGAGCTCTTGTGCCTTTTAAGAGCAGCATCCCCAAGCACTTATTTCTTTTTTGTTAGAAAGGACGTGGCTGCTCCATTGCGATACATGCATCTTGATATTCTGCATAACGTGGAGTTCAAATTTAGAAGGAAAGTGCTGAGAAACTTTACTTTACCTTCAAAGACTGTCTCTTTGTTACATAATTCTCAGAATGAAGGAGTTTTTCATAATCCTCAAAGATCTAGAATAACAAGAAAACACAAATGCATCCGATTCATGTCCATCCTTCCTCCTCCCGGTCCTTCCCACCCCAGAGGAGCAGCAGAGGCCACAGCAGTGCCACACTCTAACACTTCACTGCAATGCCAGGCCCAGCTCTCACGGCCTTTTTTCTTGGCTGCTTATCACGCAGTGAATTAATGCCCAGGAACACTCCTCTTCCAAATACTGCAGAGAGGGATACCACATATGGACTGGAAGTATCAGGAGCTAGTGTGAGCCAACTAGGACAGAAGTAAGCCAGTGCCTGTACAGACTTCTCTTACAAGAGGGTGAATCTGCTGCCAGGACACATGGGTCCAGCATGTAACATCCACTCTCTCATATCGTGGTCATGACTTGCTTTGTGATTTAACGCAATACCCCGAACAGGTGACGGCGCATCCCATCCTGGCGTATGCCAACAACTCCTTTTGTGAGGTGCCACCTGCCTTGAGCAGCTCATTAAAGCCGTTTTCCCAACGAGGGTCACTAGGAGTCAGTGCTGGCTTTTGTGGGATTGGTCCAAGGGAACCTTGTGGTCAAGGAGACTGAGAGAGAAGGCTACGATGTGTTCAAACCATCTACCAAACAAGCAAAAAACCCCAACGCTGCTGTCCAAAAATCACCTAAAAAATGCTTGCTTCCACAATTTATACTTAAAATTTTAAATGTTAAATAAAGGTAGAATGGGGACTGTTCCAATGCAGTGCTCCAGTACTAAGAGAAAAGATTAGCAGAGACACTAATTTTGCTCCAGTTAAGCTGCATTTGTGACTCAGCAATAATAAGTCTGATCTTTATTTAACCTTCTTGGTAACTCTAGAATGAAAGAAATAGTCTTCGGCCTTTTCAGTTTGGCAATGAAATAAAGAATGCCTCAGGTAACATGAGAACATAACCCGTAGTATAATTCCATGATCTGTATCAGTCCAATTTTAGTTGATTCCAATGGAATTTTTCTGACCCACATTTGGTTCAAAACCGAGCCAAAAAATCAATGTGAAAAATGGCATGAAACCAAGGGACTAATTGCCTTAGGATGATAAGAGGAATACTCACACCTCAGTCCCCCAGTTAGGTACACATAATTTCCAGAAATGCTAAAACTTCTAGTAACTCTTCTCCTCTGTCCCAAAGTATTATATATGACACCAGTATGGCCCTATCGGTGCTGGAATATCACAAAACTCTTTAAAAATGTGCACTCTTTTTTCCCCATGATCTATTTACATACAAAGTTGACAGTTCCATTCACATATGAGGAGATATGATGCATGCAGAGAGGAACAAAACTTGCTTTTAAACTAGGAGTGCTCCTGAAACCTTAGCACGTGTCCCCGTGTGTGTGCAGCAGGTGTACCTGTACGTGCTGGTTTTGGCTGGGGTAGAGTTAATTTTCTTCACAGTAGCTGGTATGGGGCTATGGTTTGGATTTGTGCTGGAAACAGTGCTGATAACACAGGGATGTTTTCGTTCCTGCTGAGCAGTGCTCACACAGAGTCAAGGCCTTTTCTGCTCCTCACACCACCCCACCAGCGAGTAGGCTGGGGGTGCACAAGAAGTCGGGAGGGGACACAGCTGGGACAGCTGACCCCAACTGACCAAAGGGATACTCCATACCATATGATGTCATGCTCAGCATATAAAGCTGGGGAAAGAAGAAGGAAGGGGGGGACGTTTGGAGTGATGGCGTTTGTCTTCCCAAGTAACCGTTCTGCGTGATGGAGCCCTGCTTTCCTGGAGATGGCTGGACACCTGCCTGCCGATGGGAAGCAGTGAATGAATTCCTTGTTTTGCTTTGCTTGTGCGCACGGCTTTTGCTTTACCTATTAAACTGTCTTTATCTCAACCCACGAGTTTTCTCACTTTTACCCTTCTGATTCTCTCCCCCATCCCACTGGGGGGGAGTGAGCGAGCAGCTGTGTGGTGCTCAGTTGCTGGCTGGGGTTACACCACAACATTGTATTTCAAACGCCATGCAAGGATTCTGCTTTAGTAAAAGCAATGTTTAGTTTTGCAGTCCTATGTGCCTATTTTATGTGGAGCATGAAACCCTCTGCTATTGAAAGCACACTTTTTCCAGCTAAGCATGAACAGATTTTTAAAAAATTGTTCCATCATTTACACTTACCGCATCATAATTTTGTTCCAGAAATTCTGCTACCAACAATTTGTGTCGCGTTAACAGGTCCTGGGGAAGAACAGAGAAAGGTTACCTAAGAGAGCGTGCTCATTTGATTGCCCCCTGATTCTCAAATGTATTTTAGCATTTTTTACCAGGTCATCTTTTAGAAGGTATTTACAACATTATTTCTATAGGCAGAAAGCATTTAAAAACAATACTGCATTGTGCCTTTATTAGGATTTTAAGGAGAATTCAGTGAATGCTCACAGAATCAATATAAAACTATTCTAACACTCGCTCTTTATATTCCTTTTCACTCCTACCTTTTCTTAAGGTCATCCTGCACAGCACTTCTTACAATAAACTGGGGTGGGGGAAAGGAATAAAGTAAATTAACCCTTTATGGAGGGATCAGCTATGGTCCCAAAGCCAAAAGTGACCTACAGGCTACCCCAGAGCTGGAAAATTATGCTAAGTTTGATCAATTGCTATTGCTCATCTCCAATGAATACAACAAGGCAGACTCAATTCAACCACTGGATATATTTATTTATTTAAAACCTAAAAGTTAGGCACCAATCTAACCTAGCCATCCAGGCTCCCTCCACAGCCACTCCATCCCCTGAAAGGGGTCTCAGGTAGGTGGGATGAATTTCTTCTGTGGCTGGTTTTCTGCCCAAGGTGGGCTTACTGACACAAGCAGTAGCAGACCTTTAAGACAGCTGAAGCTTTGTGGGAGGCATTCCATCCTAAAAGGCCAACTAATTCAAATTTAAATTAAAGCAACCCCTCCCACAGAATGGGAACCTGGTGCTCAGCGACAGAGATGCAAATGTTCAGCTCCAGAAGAAATCAACTCTCTTTACTGGTTGAATATCTATGAAATGAAGTGGCCGGTTTGAGGCATTTAAGTTTAATTTTTATCCTATTGCCTCCTGTAAAACATAGCACTGATCACAATAAATGCCTGATGAAGTCCATTCAAGTCGATATTTTTTCAGTGAATCAGTTGCTATCTTTTTCATCACCTTTTCCTTGGTTTCCTCACCCACAGTCAGAGACTGATGCTGATGAGTAGCTGAAGCAGATACACAGACACATCCTCTACAGCATCACAAATAGAAGTAGTCCTTTACATACTAATCCTTTAATTTATTTTTGCCATCAATTATAAGAGGAAAGCAGAGTGCTATAAAATCCAGTTTTAATACATTCCTTTATTTAGCAGGACTGCGATGATAGCAGTTTAAAGGGCTGCGTGCAACAAACGTGCTTCACAAGCTTTTATGCAGGGCACTTAGGAGGCAAGTACAGCATTTTTCAATAGGGGGCACAAATGGAATATAATCCAAAATGAGTTTTTCATACAAAATCATGAGAGAGTGTGGAGCAGCAATATTCAATCAGCACTCTTTCCAACTGCTGCTGGTACCCTCCACAGCCGACTGTATCTCTAAATACAAGCTGCTTTCCTCTGCATTTTTAGCAGCTCTGTTTCCTCTCTGCAGTGCACCTGGCTGAATTTAATTAAGAAGTACATCTCCAGATCATCAAAAATTCCAATACTTCCCTACTATAAATATCCTCAGACTTTAATGCACATTTAATTAAGCCCTCCTTTGGTGCATAGACTATCCAAGGCTTTCAGCTCTGAACCAGACACCCTGGTGGCAACACTACAAACCCAACATGGGGGAAACAGAACTGGAAACACGAGTTCAGTAATCCAGCCAGCGAGCAATCATAGCACTTATTTTTACGGCATTAGAAATGAGGTAGCTCCATATTTCATGATTCAGTTGCTTCTACATCACTTCTTGCTGTTCAAGCTATTCAGAATAACAGACAAATAGGCTGTTTTATTTCCAGAACTGTCCATGTATCAAGTCAGGCAATTTAAAATAAGAGGCAATTTAAAAAAATGCAGTTTATAGATTTTCCCCAAGCATTTTAAAAGGTGATTTCTGACCTATGTCTGAGGATGAACTGCCCTCATACTCTTCTCTTTCCAGTGCACGTGAGGATGCAGAATACTATTTTTAAATCCTGCTAAAAATACACTCGGATCACAGGGGACAGAAGTAAGTTCCACAGCTGTAGATCCGTGAACGACATCAATCGCTCTTTTTCTGGGAGGGTTGCAGCAGTCTGCGGTCCTTGCCACAACTTAACTGACTCTTGTCCCCATCCTGCCTCCTGGATGGGGTGAAGACTGTCCGTCGCCAACCACACGCTCTGCTGTTCTGCTCAAAGCAGGACCTGGGCAAAAGATGCAAATCTCTTCTGCCAAGCTGGGAACAGAGTCCAGGAGCACTTTTTCTGACCAGAGACAAATACTCTTCCAAGCATAGGGTAAAATGCCAGAGACAGAGGATCTCAGTTGCATTTTTATACAGTCTTACACATGGATTTTTACTTGTCTGTATTTCTGTGCTACTTCCACTTTCATAACATTTACCTAATGAACACAATGATAGTGCAACTTAAAATAATTGAAAGATGCTGCTACTGATTAATGGGTGTTTGAATTGGTAATCCTGCTCAACTCATTACTGACGAATGCAATGTTACCTCCATTATGCAAATCTTTACCCTATTCAGTAGGTTAGTAAAATCTGATGCCAGGTTTCAGTACGCGTTGAATCACTGAGCTGAACTGTAACGCTCCTTCCAGTTATTCCTAAGGTCTATCTAATCATGTTTCTAATTAGCTTTGAGAGGAAAGAATGAACAACGTGTTTCTATGACAGCAAGGAACCCAGTGATAGAAGAAAAAAAGGAGTTATGTCTATATTTAGAAGAGTCTTTACCTGAAAAGAATTTTCCCCAGCTTTCTTAAATTATTTTTCAGAAATAGAGTAATCTTCCCTGTACATTAAGCTTATAGGCACCAAATTTTGCTCAAAGACTATACTAGCACCTTGCAGGCAAGATGATGGTCACATACAAACTCCAAGAAATTTGGCAAGCTTCACCCAACTTCATTTTTAATACAACACCGAGACTATACAGAGTCTACGCGGTGCTTTCACCTACTTGGCTCGTAGCAGTACGGTCCTTACACTGAACCATGGGTCACAAAAGTAAGCATACAAATAAGTTGTAAAGTAATCAGCGGGCACGGCATTAGTCTAAACTTGACTGCCGAACTCAGAAGGGTCAGCAAAAATTAGAGGATTTTAAAAGTGAATTTTAAATGATTCCTTCTATTTACTGGTTGTGGTAATGATGGGTAGTGGTTTTGTCTCCAGGGGAAGGTAGGGAGAGAAAAAGGTTATGCATTTTACAAGAACTGTACGTAATACTTGATTAATTTGAGTTTTAAATGGTTGCATAAAAAGCCTTGGGTTATCAAGATGAAGAACATTAGTAAAATGTAAATCTGTATTGAATTAAAGATTCTTTGCAGACTTAATCACTGTTGTGAATCCTGTTACAAACAGACCAAGGATTAATTATATCCTTTACTGAACAATAAAAAAGCCACCCAGTTTAAAGGCAACACAACCTTCAGTGATGACTACTGACGGGAGTGCCATTTTTGACACAACACTGTGACGCAGGTATTGAATAATTTACCTTGAATGTAGCAAAGGCATCAGAAGCTATATCAAATGTTGACATTTCCACATATTTAAAAAAGTCTCTGAACTGTTCCGAAAAAAGTATGATTTTGGCCAAGGGTTCATGCCGGATACACTCTCTCAGCATAATTCCACAGCGTAAGGCAATATTTGGGGATTCATATCTAAAGAATGAAAAGAAACAGAAAAGATCTAAATGTAGAAGAAAAAAGATAAACGGGCGCTTTTCTAGCAACGGGGAACTTTGTAGCATAGGAAATGCGTGTGCCAGAGGGAACACAACACATGGACGGCAGCTCCCACCCAGAGCACTGTACCCAGCTTCAGAACCTCAGCCCAAAGCTAAGGAGCAGACGCAGAGGTAAGGCTGCCAGTGTTTCCCATCGCAAACCTCTGCCTTCGCAAGCCAAAACACATTTTGGTGTAATTACACCTCCTCTCTGCGGAAAGACGGTGGGGAGTGCGTAACATTTCAACAGAGCTCCTTCACCCTTTTAGATTTATGAGAAACCAAAGCCCATACAATATAACAATATTCCTTTTCAGATTTAATTCTGAGCTCCTCGGTTTATCCAAGAAAAAAATAACACCTCATGACCACCCATCACCTCCCACTCATCTTCTAGAGAACGTTGCTCTAGAATATTAATGTCTAACGAGGAAGGTAGGAAGAGCCTATCCAGGCAGTCTACACAGGATTAAGCTTTCTGTAGCTCTGAAGATCTTTTTTGCAGTTTAGGAAGAATTCTGCTCAATCCCTTCCCTGCAGAGGCTACTACTTTGTACAGGAGACAAGTATTTGTTTCTCAAGTTACAATCCTGTTATGGCACACGCATCGCAATAGCCAGGAGCCAGCACACTTCTCGATCTTGGAGAGGGAGGGAGGGGGAGGCAATTCAGATGATCTTCTATTTCTATAAAGTCTTGATTTCTTTAAAGCTGATATTAATCTGAAACAAAACTGTTAGAAACACAATTTAAAAAAAAAAAAGAAAGGATGAAATCCAACAGTCAGGAAGGTCTTAAAATGAACTTATTCCAGCAATCTTCAGTCATGTGAAAACGGTGAAGTCCAAGGGGACAGAAAACACGCTCTGTTTCAATAAGCTGGCTATACTATATCAGAACTGTGTATTATCACCCAGAGCTTATCAGCATCATTTTTCCTTTGCACAGTTAATTCCTATCACTAGGCCAAAAGAGAAAAAAAGAAGAAAACCACAAAATGCCATCTGTGCTGTAAGTGAGTGGGCCCTCAAGTTTACCACCAGCTTGCAATTTAAAAGAATGGTTGTGTTTTGCGAGCATACCAGAGCTGCATACTTCAACCTGATGTCAACAATAGTTGGCTTAATGAAAAATGAATTGCTGTTCCAAACAGGCAAATGAAACTTCCCACCCTCAAGGAAATGCAGGCACTCAAGCCCTTATTTGTTTCCTTTTGGGAAACATTTGCAAACGTGAATTTATAACTCTTTAGACAATGGAGATTCGCTGATGTTTTCTGTCAAGGCGTACCTCTCCTCGACACCATTAACAGGAATACTAATTTTCAAGCAAAAAGAGGCGGAGTTGCTCCTAGGAGCGCAGCCAGGAAAATATTTAATAGTTGGCTACGGAATATTTTGGTTGGAATAAAAGCAAATTACATTGTTTCCAGCACAATAACTTTTTAAAACACAACTATCAACAGAATTATTCTTAGTCAAATGCTCCATTATCTGGAAGTGGGTTATGGACCTTTGGCTGTTCACATAAGCGAGGGAAGTTGGGTTTGGCTCCTGGAATATGCCTGGAAGAAGTTTACAGGCTGCCTGGTCATAACTGGCATGTTCTCTGCACCCACACTTACATGCAAAGCCACCAGGCAGGAATGACAGAGATGTGCTTCAAAATCACTTCTAATGAGCAATTAGTGCTCTATGCTGAAGTACTCCTGCAGCAGAAAAAAATATAGAGTTCTTCTCTGTTCGGATGAACTTACAACCTAAATAAACTCCCACATACTGACTACCAGGGGCAACCAGAAAAGGAAATAATGGACTTGAAATATTTCAAAATACTTATTGTGGAGGCTGAAAGAGGCAAGACTGAGAGCAGGGACGCATCTCAGCACAAAGGGAATCATACTTGTGTGGCTAATGCAGAAGACGGTACAAGGTAAGGAGCACAGGCAGGAGATTAGGAAGGCATTGAGCCTGAGAGACACAAGGTCTTGACAAACAGCTATATTCTGATCTGATTTTACACTGACTTCTATAGCTTGAGCTTATCATTGGATAAGGAGTTTATCCTTGGATAAACTCAAGGGTAATTCTGCAACTTTAGCCAATATACCATTAAAGCTTTAACTGCATTGTAATATGAAGAGATCATCACAAAACAGATTGGTGCAGTGACTGAGTATGTTAGATAGCATGTGGCATGATATATATTCGCAAAGGAGCTTATAAATTTGTCACTTGTGAGAAACAATGCAAGTGCCACAAACTTCAAGTCCTCTACAGTCATGGTACTAGAGGGAAAATATTTTAAATTACAAAGGACCAAAGTTATTTCTGGGCTAATGCAATATGCTGACACCAGAGAAAAACTTGGCACAAATATATCCAGTACTCTATATACACTAAACATTGTATTCATCTGAAATCATATTCATACACAAAGCCTGCACACACAGAAAATAAGATATTAAAGCAAGTCCTCATGCAGCAGGAAGGTCAATTAACCTACAAAAAAAAGAAAAAAAATAGGAGTGAACTATGTGCTGTATGTTTTTCTGAAGCTGAGAAGCTGGAAGGAAGTAGCCAAGAAGTAAAACGAAGCCTAAAAGGTAAGAACAGTTATCTCAAGTTGGCAGTGCCACTGGAGTATTAGGCAGGAAACACTGGGCGGGAGCTCTGATTCAGGATCCTTCCCACTCAACAGAGCTCACATTATGCAATGAAAAAGCAACCTTTTGTTGATGCTGTTGGGAAATTTTGCATCCAATACAAGTAAAACAATGACAAGCCTTCACAATAGTCCCGGGCTGTTCCTTTTACAGTCATGGTTGAAATTTTTTTTTTCCCTCTCCAAATAATGTCATATAACGAACACTGAATGGTACAGGCCAGCCAAATCCACTTTCCTTTAAGCAGATCTTGCTATCATATATTTCATTTAACTTCATCCTCAAGTCACGTTTTCAAGTGGTGGTGTCTAACATGAAGTGCGTGCTTCCCAGTCTCACAGCTGATTGCACACAAGTACCGCACTCTGCCTGCACACAGCAAGCCGTGCGTTCGGGGCCCTGCCCTTGCTTTAGGCACATATTTTAAGTATCGTTTTTAGACAGTCCTGGCAGCAGGACATAGGCAGGTAAGACAGCATTGCATTTGAGAACATTACACTCTTCTGCAGCAGCTGCTCAGACACCATCAGGGCTGGATAGGACTTGTCTTCTGGACTGCTGCTGATGAATTCAGCAGCACTTTCTAACGAGAAACTCCAGAAATGGCAATTCTGATACAGGGCAGTGCTGTGGAGAGGTAGCCAAGAGATCAAGAACAAGGAGCGTGAGGACCAAACTAACACGGACACGCTGCTGCACGCAGCGGCAATCTCCAAAAAAGCACCTAAGTGATGCCAGTTAAATATATCCACTGGCTCAGGTCACCTACAGTAAAATGTCTGTCAGCAGTACATATGCATAACATAAAATCTTTACTATCATTTTAATATTCTTGGTCGTTACAGATGCCAAAGAATATCTGGGACATGATCCAAAAATATTTTTTAGCTTTAAATAAAGCCCAGACATATGGTAGCGATACATGCGCAACGTGCAAAAACAAAATGAGTGAAAAAGTGAGCAGATCGCAAAAGCAAAGACAGAGAAGAGGAAAGAAAATTATTGTATCTATATATGAAATTGAAAACAGTTGTACAACTTAACAACGACTGAGAGAATTATCATCACTGTCCCAAAACAACTAGTTTGAGGTTTATACGAGTGGTGAATTTTAATGAACAAATGAAACCAAAATCCATTTAACTAGCTTACTGGTTTCCTTTCTGAGGAAGCTGGCATTTAGTAACACAAAACAAGTCAAGAATTTCAAAATTAAAGCTAAATCATGACAAATCACTATACTTGTAAGAGCAAGACCTAGCTCAGCCCAGCCACCTGCCCGGGCTCCCCACCACCCTGCCTGCGAGGAAGGCAGCGAGTCCACACCTCCTCCTATCGCAGCAACCAAGAGCTTTGCCACCACGTTCAAACGCAAGCTCGCAGTTCTTGAAATCCCTGGTACTGACTAGTTCTCTCGGTTACTTTTTTCCCTGCTCAGCTGTGCTGGAACGTGGCCAACTTTGAAGGAAATAATTACTATTTTAGAGGACTCCCGTGCCTATGTCTCTCCTAGCTCGGGCCTGCCCCTGGGAGAGGGGGGAGGCTGAAGGGAATTTTACCCTTGGGGCTGCAGCCTTGTCTTGCACAAACCTTAGATGGTGCTTAAGTATTTTCCTAACCCTGGCTGTGGAGCAAATGGTAAAAATGCAAATCTTAAGCCTGGAGAGCAAGAAAGACATTTAAAAAAATTCATTCTCTTAAGAACCATTAGTTTAAAAGGCTTATGTCATGTTTTTGAATGGCTGTTGCTAGTGTGACCATACAACTACTGAGAGTCCATGTTGTTTCATACTGATCAGTTAATAAATGCATTTATTTCTACATCAGTTCTTTAATCCCAATCACATATATTCTCCCTTCCTTAGGGAAAAATAAAAAAAATCCTGAAGTTTTGGCTTCTTTGGCTTCTGTGGTTTAGAAAACCACAGAGAACTGAGCAGAAAACAGTAGACTTCAAGGGTTGGAAAAGCAAAGCTTCTTGCTGAACAGAAGGTACTTTTGGCCAAAAGTAAAGGGGACAGAAACCTCAAGAGTTTTAGGCCAACACTTGTGCACTCTTGAATGCAACTACAGCTGATGTCCTCTCCACACAGCAGTCTACTCCCCCTCCTTGGCCAACTTACCTTGGGAACCACTGGGTTACAGCTGAGCACTGACTCCCTCAAAGGTTAAAAGACAAAAAAAAAAAGATTTAATGCTGAAAGTCACGGAGTTCATTACTGAATTAATTTAAAGGTGAAGCTCACATGTGGCTACAAGCGTTGAAGAATTCTGCCCAACAGACACAACTATTCTTTTTATGCATTTTTGCTTCTCTCTGTTCTACCACATGGTGGTCCAGCATTTGACTCCAGTCATTTACAGACACCACTACAAGTCACTCCTGCAATGCAAAAAAGTCTAAATGAAACTCAGCAGTCATCAACAAAGCTACACAAAAGTTTAGGGCAAGAACTGAAGTACATGTCACGTGGGGAGCAGTCAAAAACAATCAGCACATAATTATTCCAACATGAAGTTTGGTGAAGAAATAACGGCCAAATAAAATAATCCAGTCATTAAAAAGTATACAGTTAAGTAGAAAGAAAGTCAATATGAAAGAAACAAAATAAGAAATCTGGAACGAAATCTGAAAATCCTTTTTTTTTTTTTTTTTAAACTAAAAGTGAGAAAGTAGATCAACTGCAATGCCAGCATGTTCCAGGCAATGCTCTTTAATGAAAATCAAATTAAAGCACCCACCCTTTTAGAAGCATGAATAGGATATGTGGATGAGCACTAATGTATTCCACAGTAGGGCTGCGTGTGCCAATTTGTCTTCTCAAGATGTTGTTAAATATCTGGGAAACGTCCTTTTTGCCCTGTTAAAGAAGCAAAATATATCTTCAACTGGAAATACATGAACAAATGACCACTTACTATAACGTCTATTTAAAGTAGAAATGAAATTGAAAACAAAACAAGTCAGTCTCCTTTTTGGGCTCTCCACAGTCCCACCACCTCATACTCGCTGTTTCTTCAACGCCACAAGAAGGCTTCCTCCATCAGGTGGCTCTGAAGACTACCAACCCCCCACTCCCATTGACACCTCTCTCTTTCTAAATGAAGATGCGCATCCCCCTTATTCTGTCAAGCAAGTCCCTGGCTATCTTAAATAGCAACACTGAAGTACCAAAAAAGCAAGCCACCACCCTGAGCCAAACATGTTTTTTCAGTACGTACTATTGCTCCCACAGCCTCCAAATTTAAGTAGTCGAGCTAGTACCAAGTACACCGCCCCACAGCCTAGACTTACAAAGCTAAAGCTTTTCATTAGTCAAATGCAATCAATGTCATGTGAGATCGCACTTTTGAAAATCAGGGTTAAATTTAAAACGCCCATTATTTCACCATGACGAATGAAATAATTACTACTGATAGAAAAGCTGCATCACGTACATGTCTCTGCTTCAGTCACAACTAAGATCCTTCACTTTATCCTAACTTTCTCCTATATACACACATCTGCACAATCACATTTTGTCTTCGAATGCTTCCCCGTGCAAACAGCTTTTCAGAAGGCCCTTCCAAATTATGTTCTATTCAGCCACAGGGTTTGCCAATACATCTTGCATTAGAAGTCCTCTTCCTCCCCCACAGCTTTCTCTCCTGGCCGCAGGAGACAAATTGATTTGTGAAATTAATGGAGGGGGGAGACTGCTGCACTAATGACCAGTAACCAAGGCACTGAGTCAACAGCGGGTCACTATGCACAGGGCAAACTAAAGCAAAAGGTTACTTATAATCTGTACATGCTCATTGATCTGTCTCGAGAGGACAAACATTCCTTGGCAGAGAACTTATTGAACATTTGAAGCCAAGGAGCAGATAGTTTCACACAGAGGGAAATTCCCTGGTTTCACCTCTACAAATAAATCACTGCTGAGAAACACAAAATATTCTGCTTTCCTACTCGTTCCAATCCAGCTGGCTTGGAGACTCGGGGACTCGGGGAATTAAATAGGAGAAACAAATCAGAGCAGGCCAGTCCATCTGCCTTTGTCTGCAACACTTTTGACCCTTGGACATTTTCTTAATTAGGCTAATTCTTTATAAAGTCATCCCGTTCTCCCCTATCTTTACAACACCTGTAATGTATGTCTGGAATCCTGTGATCCCCAGCGGCTTCAGCAGTTACTCCAAGATGAAAACAATCCAGACGGAGAAGAGCTGTTGAAAGGGTGAGGCGAAAATGGCCAAAAATTAAGTGATCCCCTCTGCTACGCCAGATTTTGTATTAATTACTTAATATTAGGTGCACTGCAGCATTATATCCAATAGCAGAGAGGAGATATATATCTATATGTATATATATATCAGAGAGGAGATATGTATATATATCCAATTATATCCAATTTTCTAGAGACCAGCGATGGTGAAAGCCCGAGACCCAGTTGGTCTCTCTAGGTTCTCCTGGAGGGAATGGAGGCAGGTAGGAGGGAATGAAGGCAGACTTCTCTCACCACCAGACATCTATAAAAATTGTAGGAATACTTTTGCAACACTTCTTACTTGGATCTGCGATTCAATTTTGCCTTATAATGAAATACATATGGCCACTGAAGCATAAGATAAGGCAGCATGGAGAGAAAGTGGCTAGACAAGAACAAGAAAACTGCAAAGGATGCCATTATATAAATAACAAATTGCATGATACCTGTAACATAATTTAGCTCCTGTTTCAAGACAAAGTAAGGGAAAGCTCCTAACATCACCAGTCCTGGGCTTGTGGCTATTTACTGCCTCCTTTAGTGGCTTTACAGCTTGTGAACCTTTAGGCTTACATGCAGTTAGTAACACCTAATTTTTTAGTCGACTTTTTCTGTATGCACATTTTCCTCAGTTCTTCAAAGTTCAACAATAAATTTAATATTTTAAATTTCCAAAAATCCAGTCTGATCTTGATTCTGGGCTCCTGCCCAAAGCCAGCTTTAGTGCTTCATAACAGTATCATCACCAAAATTACATCTTGTTTCTTGAGTGGCGGAAGCAATAAACCTGTGTTTTCTACAGACGTGTGATGGACATGTGCAAGTCTCCCCTACACGCACACCCGCCCCCAGCCACACGTGCTGTAAGTGTACTGGCAGATGAAACACAAGTGAGACAGGACTCGAGTCTGTGCTTCTGCCTTTTTCTCGGTGGGGGCATTAACTCTGGTCTCGCTCCTCTAAACAGCCATCAAGTTTCATGAAGTTTTTGAAAACGCATCTTCAAAGGGAAGTACAGCTGTGCAAACCTGGGATCAAAGTGGGCAGCAGGGTTGGTGAGGAGGAGACAGGGAGTCAGGACAAAACAAAGTAACCTACATAAACATTATTTCCTTCAGAAATCAGATTTTCAAGCAATTTATGATTTTGCTTTCTACTATTACATACAGATGAAAAAATTAATTTGCATGTTATAAAGTGATGAAATTGCTTGTTCAACAAAGAAACCTAAATGCCAGCTGTGGCCACCAATATAACAAAATGGAAGCAGAAAAGTTGATAAACTGAAAAAGTCAACGGGAATATGAAGACAAAGCAGCACATGCTCTTACTATCCTCTTGTTCAATGACATTTCGTTTCTACTGTTTTGCCAAAAGAGTATGTATAACAGCTTTGCTAAATGATTGAAAAAGTTTTATCATGGAAAAATCTATTTTGCTGTAAGAGTTATTAGAATTGTTTATAATAACAGTAATAACAGTAATTCAGCAACAGATTAGGTATTTCATTCAGTGCTTGCATTTGAAGACTGTGGGTTCAATATGTCCATACAGAATTTTTTGTCTGACAAAAGCAATACAGACTGTCAGGTAACTAAAAAAATGCAGTAGTTAACCTTCTGTGGTGTCTTTGCGAATGGTATCTTCTCCTCCCCCCTCTCCTTTTTTCTTAAAAACAAATAAATAAATCACTGGATTTTTAGGGTTTTGGGTTGGGTTTTTTGGGTTGGTTTTTTTTTGTAATTAAGACATTTAACAGTAACCCTGGATGGCAGGGAGAAGACAAATGAAAGGATCTCTATAAATTCTAGCATTAAAAAAAAAATCTCCTGAACTGAAAACCTGAGGAAAAGTGAGAGAACTCCACTAACAACATATTTAAAAATTAATACAAAATAAATAAGTCAGTGCCTTGAATCCTGGCTTCACTGGGGGTAGGGGGAAAAGGGGAAAAAAGAAAACATAAATTTCCCATCGTTCCTCCCTTTCATTCATTTACAAAATGGAAAGAAAAGTAAAGTAACAACAAATAACTTCAATAATGGGAGAAAACTTCTGCAAGAAAGTAACTCCCACAAAAGGTGGCTCTGAGAGCATCAGATGATCTCTCTGGGGAACTGATTTTTAAATTCAGCGGCCGCCCTGCCCTATACGCTGGGTACTGCTCCTGCTTCAGACCTCAGCGGCAGAGGTTCGGTTCCTGGGAGCTTGGCATTTCTCACTGCTCAGAGATGCTTGGACACTTGTGATGATTCACCAGCGCCTGGGAGCCATAGAAATGGCAGGACTCATAAACAGCAGTCCCTGGGGACCACTGTCCCCGCTGACCGTAGACCACAGGAATACTATAATGACCTGCCAGTGACGAAGTTTCTTACCAGTCCCCACCAGTCAAAGGTCAATTAAAAGGGTTTATATTTATCCTGAATTACTGCAATCTTTTCTACCATATCTCTTCTTCTCCTTATTTATAAGCAAGTTTGGTTGTCTTAGTAGTTGTCTACTAAGTTTTTGGCTTTAAAAACAAAACCAGCAAGGAGTTCCATGGAATATATATACACACACACATATATATTCACATTAATCTTTCTGCTGGCAAAAAAAAGTTATATTCCTTTCTTCTTTTAATCCAAAGAATTAAGTGGGGGCAACCCAATTTACCTTGCCACCTGCCATCAGTTTTTAACACCTTTTTCGACTCCTTTACTCTCAACTAAACTATCCTAATTTGTTTTCAGTCTTTTTCACATGAGATTTTCCCATGCTTCCAATTATTTTTATTTCATGTCCCTGGACCCCTTCTTCAGTCACACTTTACTCTCAACTAAACTATCCTAATTTGTTTTCAGTCTTTTTCACATGAGATTTTCCCATGCTTCCAATTATTTTTATTTCATGTCCCTGGACCCCTTCTAAATCAGTCACACTCCTCAGAGTCGGCGGTTGGCTCTAGTTGCATTATCCCAAAGTAAGAGGTTCATCACTGCAGCTTACAAGGTCGGTCACAGATAGTATTCTCAGCATCATTTCCTACCTTGTTTGGATACACATGGCAATATTTCTTTATTGTTTTTGTTTTAATAAAAAAAAATAAATCAGATGCATTGCATTTACTTCCAGTATATGAGCATGTCTATCAGGACACTGACCAATCTACAGCAGCTACTTTCTTCGGCATGTGAAAAACAGTTTCAAATGCAATAACATTATTTAGACTTCTGAAAAATACAGCTCTACTCACTGACAACACTGAGACCAAGGAGATGAAAAGGTTTATGGATGCTGACCTACCTCAAAATCTATCAGCTGCAGGTTGGCAATAAGTGTCACTAGAAGGCCACTGTTATATAGCTCTTGTGCCAGCTGAGCCACAATTTCTGTAGGTGGCTCTTTGTCTGTGGTCCCACACAAAATTTCCTTCATTGCTTGCAGAGATTTTGACACTTCCTCCGATGCCTGTTCACCAGCACATAAGGGTTTTGTTTAAAAAAAGAAAACAGAAAAGAAAAAAAAAAGTGTTTTATTTTAAAAGACAAGCAGTTCAAAACAAAAGCTTCTAACTGTACCTATGATGATTGTTATCTATTGTAAAATGGTTTTAATAATTTTATGTAATCACTGAGGCTGGAACATCCACACCGCATCCTGCGGGTTCTACACAAGCACACAGATATATTCAATTTAAACACAGCATGCCATCACTTACAGACCACAGGCATAAAATAGGGGCAGGAGTGCAATTACCAACCAACATCAGCAAGATCCTTTATGAGTTTAGAGACAGGCGCTGCCCCGCAGAAGCGGCAGCACTTTCAACATCACTCCCCCCGTCCTCCCCACTGGGTTCCATCGACACACGTGGGGCGAGATGTGCCAGATGGAGGTACCGAACCAGCCGGCTCCTCCCGCCGGCAGGGTGGCCGCTGTGCTGCTTCCCCATCAACTGCTTGCTGGTGCACTGTCCCGGCTCCTCTACTGGTAACCCAAATAAAGCCTTGTACCCCTGCCAGCTTTGCATTGCCACCACCTATTTCTCCTCATCATGTGTGGTTTGAGCCAGCATCTTCCGCAAGGGATTTGCCTACTGAGCGCACAGGCACTTCAGTCTCAGGTTGGGAAATTAATTAAATTAACAATTTGCTTCAGCAAAGCTCCACAGCTGCCACCAAGGGAACTAAAATAAGTTTTTCATCTTTTGCTCCCACCTAGTGCATACTAATTCTGTGCAATGTTTCAGGTACCTAATGTAGAGGACAAATCAGGAATTATCTTACAAAATATCTTGACCAGAAAGCTTACAACAGGAAAATGAAAGAGAAACACGTATAAACAGGTAACAGCTTAGCGTTGGTGGCAGTCAGCAGGTTTAAATCAGATGTGAACGATAACATCCCACTTCCCAAGGTAAATGACTGCTGGCCACAGCACGGCAGCTCTGGCTCACACTCTCCTCCCAGGTTTGCTCCACTTTGTACAAATAAAGACTCCGTGGAGCAAAAGTGTTATTTTTTCACGTGTGTGTGTGCTTTAAATCCCACCTGCTCTAGCCGTGGGGCTATGGAGGCAATGGCTCTTTCTGGGTCGGGGTATATTTAATACACGCGTGACCCGCAGCAAGGCTGGTTGGATTTTTTGGCAGGGAGTGGGAAGGAAGTAAGGGACAGCTTTGAAAGCAAAGCTGAGAATGACAGCAAAGTGCCAGGCAAGACGGTTAAAGATGCTGAAGATAGGACAGCATTTCACATCTATATTGCAAAACATTTGTTTGAAATTCGCGTTTCGTTAGCTTAGCAGGGGGGGAATCAAGACACACACAGAAAACCCAGGAGTCATTTGTAAAAGCTAACTGGACATTAATGGGTGTTCAAAGCCAGATCAATAATTTCAATACATTTCTCACATAAACTGAAAGGAAAAATGTCATGCTTTCAAATACCACCCCATCAATCTGCATAAAATAACCCCACAGTGCTCCGGAGAGGCATCTCTCAACTGCTGCTGATCTCCCAACACTTTAATACTGATTTAAATCACAGATTTTATTCACATTAGTGAATAAAAAATCCTAGAAAAAGCCTAGAAATCCTAAAAAAAAACAATAAAAAGCCACTTTCACATTGCATCTACCTGGAAGATTCAAGCATTGACTTTGCACAGCATAAAGAAATGTTCTCCCCCAATCTGTTTGTACCTACTCTCAGTTTTCTGCTAGTTGAGATAGGTCAGCATGAGTGGCATGTGAATGAATATGACTATGTGATAACCTTAACCACAGCAGAAGTCTTGTTGTTCCCTACCGTTGCTCAGCAAAAGAGCCTATTTTTACCTCAAATGTTAGTGGTATGTCACTAGAGATATCCCACAGAGTACAGATGGGATTAACAACAGGGGTGCTATCTTGGAAACTAAAGCTCTAAATCTGTATAAGAGCTGTGCAAATATTTTCATATCAAAGGAAAAACCCATACATTTTTGGCTTTTCACCCATTCTGCTGGGTAGGGTGTGAATATCTCTGGCATTCTGTGGTTAAAAAAAAAAATTAATACCTTTCCTTTCAAGTACAAGTAGCCCTTTCTGATATGTAGAAAAATGTCTGCAAGACTCATCTTTAGGTTTAATTCTCAAAAAGGAGGCCAAAAAGTAAAGCGCTGCAGGAGAAAACAAAACTACAGAACACCACGGTGTTGATGGGCACAACTGAGCACCACAGCTGTATTTCTCTAATCATCTGCCACCCCATCCGCTCATTTTCTCGGCTTTTCTACATGCAATTTACATTTCGTGTTTAACTTCCTTCCCCTTCGTATCCTTTGGATAGTCTGTGGCTTGACATTCAACCCACCACCAAAAGCTATTCCCGGTCAAATCTAAGGACCGCTCTTCTGTGCCTAGCCTTCATAATCTATCTGGAGGAAAACCACAATCCCAAACACAGCTTCTTAAATTAACAGCCACTTCTAGCCTCCACTTTGACATTTCCACTTAATCTTACAGCATTTTTAGAATAATACCCTAAGTACATAAGCACTGTTTCTGGGATGGAAACTTGCTCAAGACTCAGAAGAAAAAAAAAAAAAACATTCCAAGATCCAAAGACCCAAGATCTGTCCAAAACAAACAACAAAGCAAATACATTCACTCGAATACATGGAAAACACGAGACAACAGAAACGTAGCTGCAGAACAGCTTGTCGTAAGAAGCCAGACTGCGCCTGACCCTCTTTAGGAAAATTTGTGAAAACCAACAAAAACCTCAGCAAGACACCCTTCCCCCCAGCAATGCCACAAACAGAATTTCAGTGGCAAAAAAAGAGAGATTTGATAGAAACTCCAAAGTCTATTATGACCTCCATACTACTATTTATTCTCCATCAGTGGCAACAGCAACAATAACAAAGTGCTGCCACTCTCACTTCAGTAGAAGTTATAGAGCAAAAGAAAAGGTTTCATGAAATATCTAAGCACTTTAAGCCATTTGTCTCGTTCTTGCAATCAAGCACAATCTTCTTTCCGGAAGATTTTCCCTCTATCCTCTAGCTATGAGTCCTTTACATCATGACTGAATTTATGCCATTATATTTAGAGAAGCTGGTGTGAGCAGAGGGAAAAAAGAGGGAGAGGAGATAACTGAACACAGAATCCTAAACAGAACAGCTTATATATATATTACATACAAACGTCAAAAGTGGGATACGCTGAACTTCGGACAATTCAAGTTGCAGACAGGGATGAAATGCAAGCTGATTCCCAGCACACACATCAATTTAACGTTTGTGTTGCTGTCACTGCACAGATGTCAGGATCTTGACCTCCTAAAGCAACTCACAGGTTTCTAGTCTACAGGCACCTCAGTTCACAACGTCCAAACTTGGGAGGATCCAATTCCACCTCAGAACACTAAAATTCAGGGTGGGTACATGGGTAAGTCTCAAATGAGTTACAAGGTTGATTTGCAATGGCTGTGTAAGGGGAGTGAAGGAGACCACAACCCGTACCAACCTGTGCAGTGAAGGCAGTTTTTTCAATGATGGCCACTTCTCTACTTCGGCCCAACAGACTAACAAGCTATTTGGAACAAGAAATAACTCTTTATCCACAGAGCACAGTTTATAGTGACCAGCAACCCACAAAAGGTTTCTGGGTCCATTTTGAAATATAACATTTTGTGTAAAAGTTGTCTAACAATTCTTGGATTACTCTGCTAACCCTACTGGACTAGCTGACATACAATAGCCTTGGAGCTTGAGAAGTGACAGCATAGATAAGCTTATATAACTTCTCTGTTAAACTATAAACGTGCTCAATCACCCCTGCTTACAAAGTTGGGAGTTTGTCAGCATTAATGTGTCTCTCCAAACCTACCAACAGCTTCAACAATGAGAGCTGGAAACTTTAGGAGTTGAAGATACTTGGTCTCAAGCTTGTTTTCCTCATAGATCAAAGTGTTGTCATCGTTGACTTAATGGGATCATAACACAGAAAAAGGAGCTTATGAAGACATTATCCCCTGAAATTGTATATGAAAAAAATCTTCCCTGAAAGACCTCAAGATTCTCCTCTCCACAGCGTAGAAGACCAGCTGATTTTGTTGCAAAGGTCCAGTCTTCATTACAGAATGGGTAACGCTATGTGCTGGTTTTGGCTGGGGTAGAGTTAATTTTCTTCATAGGTACTATGTTTTGGATTTGTGCTGGAAACAGTGTTGATAACACAGGGATGTTTTCATCACTGCTGAGCAGTGCTGACACAGAGTCAAGGCCTTTTCTGCTTCTCACACCGCCCCACCAGTGAGTAGGCTGGGGGTGCACAAGAAGTCGGGAGGGGACACAGCTGGGACAGCTGACCCCAACTGACCAAAGGGATA